TCATATTTATTATCTTTTCTTCCCTGAGCCAGTTCTCAATATCTGTGTGCGGCCATTTTGTTCTCCTCTGCCCATGATGTCTGCTGTTTGGCCTTCTGAGGGATTGTGGGTAAATATTATTGGCAATTGAAACAGAACCTTGATTAAGCTCTACCCATTGTCAGCTTAACTGCTACACATAAAGAAAAGTAGACCCTACTTTCCTTAATATGTTGCAAAAACTAGCGCACATAAGGGGAAGAAAAAAGTTCAAACACACATTGCTATATATAATCAGACTAGATCAAACTTATTTTTAGTGAAAGAGTGACTTAATTACAGGGAGATCTAAATTTTGTTTTGTGTTACTTTGCTTTAGATTACAGAACGTGCATTTTTTTAACCAGGACTAAGAAAGTACAGTTAAAGACCATCCTTGTATTGCATTAAATTTTTTTATTATTTTTTTTAGCAGTTTGGTCTTTTTCTTTTATTATAAATAGTTGCATTATTATGAATTAGATTTTGGCCATTTTGGTGCAAAATAAACGAAAGATGTAGAAGGTAGAAGGGGTTGGACAATGGCATTTGGGGGGTGGACAATGGAATGACTCCCATTTTCTTAATTCCCACTGGCCATGGATGATCTGTCCATATTATTTACTTTAAAGTCTACACATGAAGCCTACATGGAGAACTTTAATTTGGGGGTCATATTAACCCCCGTAGGCATATTTATCTATTTATATTTTACAAGCTCTGGCCAGCCGCCTCATGGGTAACCTTTGTGCAGCCAAAGTTTATATAACTATAGAAATTATTTGTTGGCGGATATTCGGTTAATAAGATAGAATTCTACCATGTCTGTCAAACCAAAAAACAAACCAAAAATCACTAAAATAAAAAATCACTTATAATAATAATGAAACGTCTTTCTATACACATTTCTAGAAATCCTCTATTTTAAAGATTGACATCACTGATATGAGATTTTATTAAATTACTATCACATTAAAAAACAAAGATCTCTGCCTTGTGTATTTCTAGTCTTTTGTTGAGATATCGATGAGTCTGTATGTCCTTTCCCCTTAGAGTTCAATTTGTTGTTTTTCTTTTCTTTTTGCTATTGTTGTCTTGGAGATAAGGTCACAGGTTCAGAATCAGAGAGAACTAGCACTTGCTGGAGCAAACATAAATCCTTTGTAAGTACGGTGTCTTTGAGTGGAATCTATTACAGGTATGCATTCTTATTAGAAAGCTCCAGAATTGTCACAGCAATACTGACACAATTTTGTGTTTTAAATGTTTATACTTTTGTTATTGTTGAGCAATAATGGAACACCACCCCAAACACTGTAAACAATGTGCTAATATATTAATTGGGTTTTCACTAAACATCCGGACAAAACTGGTGAAAATGACCGAACTCTCACCTCAGTGGCAATTCTCGCATTAACTAAAGCCAAATGCGGTCAGAATTTGGTCTCTCCGAGTGAATCTGTGGCAATCAGATGCATCTGGTGTCTGGATTAAAATCAGTGCTTTCACTTCCTAATGCTACACAACGTAGAATATTCAGAAAGCACAGGTTTTAATAAAATTTGTGAACAAATATATCCGGTAGGATTCATGTTCACAAATTTTTGTTCACTTGCCTTCATGCAAGAGAACAATAATTATTTGCATGCTGGCAGCACAGGCACTATGGGATGGGCCTGTAAAATAACGGGGAATGGACATTGACACACCTGTGCCCCCATCCTTATCTATTGGGTGGAGGACCTTTAAATACGTAATGGAGGGGAAGACAGTTCACTGTCCGCCCCCTTACCCACATCCATGGCAGTAGGTGTGGGGAAATTTGATCCATAAGTCTCTCCATGTGGTCAGCTGGAGGGGGCTATTACAATGCACAGGTGGAGAATCCAGTGTACCCTCGGCCTTTACCGACTTGCATTGTGTGGCTGCCCGCATGGCATGTGGGTGCATGAGGAGGTGTTAAACCTATTTTATTGTATTATGGGGTCCTATTGTTAGCACAGCCAGTGGGAAAATAGTTCAGATTTTTTTTTAAATCCAGTCTGGCAGAAATCTGGTGTAAATTCAGGCCTCTTCGTTGCCTGAATTGGAAAATTCAGACATAGAGTGAATAGTAGAAGAATATCTCGAATATATCCCCTATTATACCATTCAAGTACTTATATGGTGTGAGTGTGCATTGTGCCTTACACCATGCAAGTTGGACTTGCAGTTTTATCATTTGGATAAAATTCCTCATTCGCCTCCCCCACTCCACAAATTGAAGCCCATGGTACTCACAACACTCCCCTTTTGGATCACGAAACACCTCATTAAACCCCATTACTGTTGTGACTTTTCAGGCACTCATTGGGACACAAAGAAGAAGAGAAAGATGTGCAAAGCTTCTGAATGCTTCTCGAATTTCCAAATCATCGTTCACCCTCACTCTTGTGGCAAGCCACTTGCAAAGAAAAAAAAAAGGACATTTTAAAGACCCCAGTCCCACTTTTTGAGGCCTGCTTTGGCTGCAGCAATGCACTGCATCCTCACACCCCATGAGTGTGCCACTTGAATAAAGGTACACTGTTGGTAGTGGTACAGGACTGGCTGTGGGGGCACTTGTCACAGCCCCCTCCTGATCTGACACTCTATGCATGTGGGTTAATTTACTAAACAGGTGATTGTGATGAATTATGAACCTTTTACACAATTCAGTTCAAACACAAATTGATTTGATAAATTCCTCAATTTAGCTATTTCTTTTCCTCTTTAGCTATTTTGACATAAATTTTGCAATTTTATTTTCAATTCACCAACTTTTTATGTTCAGTAAATAAAGTGAAAACTTATATATAAATGGCCTCATCACCATTTGCTGTTCCAGAAAAAAAAGGCAAACCAAATCAAAACAGTACTTTCAAAAACCCTCTCGCATTGCAGAAAATCTATATCGGAAAGCCAACTCTAAAAAGCATTTAATTAACTTCAAGATTATGCTGAACTCTCCCCTCTCCATCAAAACATATTTTTCTTCTGCACACAATCCATTTCACTTGCATAGAACCCTCTTTTCTACTCCACTCCTTCTCCACCATTTCTCCAGTACACCGCTCTCTGTCTCTGCAATATTGTCCATCTTATGTCACTGACCATGTGAACTTACTGAGAAGATACTTTCACTCTATTTATAAATTCATCCTCCAACTTCTCTCCTCTTCAATTTAACACTTTTCCATGCTGCCAAGGAAGAGGTATCTCTCTTTTATCTCTCATACTTCTCATTAACCTATCTCTATCTTCTGGATTACTGGAGTGATCTGTATTTAACTGCTTTAGTGATCTCCGACAAATCCAAGTTACTTCTCTCTAGTGATTCTTCTGGAATACTGTTTTCGTTAGTGCATATTTTCTTCAGCTATTTTTTGAGGTTTGGCCTTTTATTTTTCTCCTTATTCCATAAAACTTCATGTGATTGTATGTTCCAAGATGGCACAGGGTTTTTAACAATCAAATTGTGACAGTGGCATGAATAGTCTTTTGCTGATAAACCGATCATTGTATCACTGACACCTTGGAAGCTTCAGGCACTTGACCTGTAAAGGCTTCTTATGTGATCTACGTATGGACTGTAGCACCTTCGTGAGTGTAGATCTTCTATGGATATTATATACAACCAAGACTATCCTTTGAGTGTTTTTACTATTTTGGGTATTTTATTCCCATTACTTACCATTTCTCATCTGGCTCTCTGTGTATTTAATCACTACCCATCCACCTCTTAGGAGGTAATTGCTGATCTTCTCTGCATTTATTGGTTCACTCCAGTCACCATGACCTCTTCTGCTTTTACAAGTGTTCATGGAATAAGCAATCTGTTTGAGATGCTGCACATACAGAAATATCTGCACTTTTTTACAGATGACTAGTTGCACCCTGGTGCACAAGCAAAAAGTGGCAGGTGATGTGAGCGTGCCTGCAAGAGGTTTTATGTCCCCTTCCTAACTCCAGAGATACATTTCAGCCCTCCACAATTTTACTACACACACTGATAAACACACACAGATACACAAACATTACAAAATTAAGCCACACTTCATTTCCTACCTTCTGCTGGCTGTGACTGGTGGGGGTTGGAGGTCTGCTCTCACCATCTGGCCCCATCCTTGCAGCTCCCTCCTCCCGCGCTGCTGTGTCAGTGAGCTGGGGGGAAGTCAGAGGCTATCACTTCCTCCCAGCTCTCCCTGCAGATGGAAGAGGCCCGGCCGCTCTGTTAAAGTGCCACCGCGCACAACCGGGCCCCTCATTGCACCCATTAACAATCCTGATCAATTTTTGCAGTGTGGCAGGATGCATTATCCTTTTTAAAAAAACAACTGCCATCAGTGCCGTGAACTGGTGTATGCGGTCTGCAGTCTCTAGGTAGATGGTATGTGTCAAAGTGACATCCACATGAATACAACCAAAGAAATACAGAGGATACATCTGTGGATTTACAAAAACAAAATATGATAGTGTAATAAATCACAAAATACAGCTATCTGTTCTGGATGATCAGTGTATACAGCATGCTTAGTAAAGAAGACTGCTAAGCAATCAACAGAAAAGGACTTCCCTTTTACAAGTTATTTATCATCCATTTCATAGTGAATAGAAATTCTTGATTTAGCTAATGCAAAAATGCCTGCTCCCTGGTTCTCACAAAATATCAATTGCACTCTAATGGCTTGTCATCTTTCTATTTCTCAACAGAAATAATGTCAACAAGAAATGATTGATGTCTTAACAAAGAGTGACCCCTGCCATAGACTTGTGTTTTATGCACTATATGGAAGTGAGCAGGTGCAGGGGGAATTGGAGTTTGTCTGAAAACAAAACAGTATATATTTAGTAGAATAAGAGATAATTAGGAAAAATATATGTCATTAATTATTTTATTAAAAAGGCAAAGCCAGTTAATGTAAAACTAATATTAGATAAATAGTCATTTTAACACACTAAATGTTTACATAAAATCCTAGGTTCAAGTATAAGAGGGATAAAAGCCCTTGTCACGGAACCTCATCCCAGCATGGACTAAAAGGAGCTTATTAGTCCATGCTGCCTCCCAGCCGGAATTGGGGACCTCTGTGGATTGCCTGGATCCATCCTATGCATCGAGTGCTTCACCAGGAGATACCCTGAAATGCTCTGGAACTGTTTGCTGGATCAGGACTGTTATTTTTGGACAGTGAGGGCACCCAGTGAAGAGCTATTTAGGGACATATAACATGTGGGAGTGCTATCTTACACAGAGCCAGATTGGAGAATGGCCACAACTTGGTCAAACTTTAACACACTATAACTCGGGTGTGGATTCTCCAATCATGGCGATATTTGGACAGTATAAATGCTTGGAAGAGAACTATCTGGGAATATCTAATGTATGGGGGTACTGTCCAGGAAAAGTAGATTTTTGATGGCCATTTCATACATTTTGGCTCTATGTTTGGGAAGGCACTGCAAGGAGTCTATATGGTTGGTTGGGGTTGTTGCAATCAAGATCCCAGGCAGAATGGCTCTGGGGTGGAACTATTTCAAAGGCCATTGCATCACATAGAGGATCCACTGTTGTGGGAATCCACATTTCTGTGTATAATTAACTGTGTTGTGTTCAATAAAGCTACATTCTACTTTCCTACATTCAGTCTAGACTAATGTTTTCAGGAGAAAGGGTCACCAGTGCTATACTCACTGCAGAGAGCTATAACCACTGTTGACATATTCAGGGCTGAGGTATCCAGAGAACCTCAGTGCAGCTTTGGCTACTGGGTCTGAAGTGCTCCAGTCTGAAGTGCTTTTTATTTATGACCAGACTGTGGTACAAGTGCCTTGAGGCAGAAAACATATATGGTGGCACTCTATGGTGATCAAGTCTGTTATCCTTACGTTTTATGTGCACCGATAATGTTTTTGGAAGAACCGGCTTTGAACTGTAAAAAAAATACACCTTTGGCGTTCCCAACAGGTATCAGACTATTTATTACTTGTTTCTGCAGACCAGTGCACTTTGAAAACTCATTTAGTTCATAATACTAAGCAAGTCTTTTATGCAATAAATGTGTATCTTTTTTTTTCTTAATTAATGCAATTTAATAGTAAGGACAGCAAATCTGAAAAGATATGAATACATCTACCAGTTGCTAATTAAGGACTGTCTAATTTGTTTTCCGCTACAATGTCCAATGCAGAAATATTTAATAAAAGGGTTGGTGATAAGGAACCTCTGAATGCGACATCACACAACTTGTTTCATTAAGTGGCACTAGAACTGATGTAACTCAAGGATCATTAAATCATATCAATGATAATACAATTATTATGGGTATTTAGCCAATAACGAAAGTTGTATTCCTTTTTTTATTGCATTATCAATAATAAATTAGCAGAAATATAATTTTTTTCCTTTAGGCAACACTACTAGATTTCAGTACCTGTTCTTATCTGTTCTTCTCGTCAGCTTACTTCTCTCTTTAATGGTCCATTCCTAAGTTTAAGGATTTCAAATTAACTACCTGTTGCCTAATCAAATATCTCCCATTACTGTTTAATGAAGCAGACAGAATTATTAAATTTACCCATATCTTAGATGGAAGGATATGTTTTAAAGGGGAAAAAAGGAGAAATAGTCACTTTGTACACAAAGTAGTTAAATCAATGGACTGATAATGGTTGATAAGTTAAGGTGTAGATATGAATAAATAAAATAGCCTCTGAGAAAGCAAGAAGCTGCTATAGATTTTGTAGATTAACCTGCGAAAGACCTCTCGTGCTTTTTTATCCTATACAATTTACGCAACTCTGAAAATATGGCTGTTGTTTTTAGCTAGAATTACAGGACACAATGCATGTAATATCTATTTAGGGGCACCCACTTGCATCACAGGTGCAAAAAAAAAGGCACGCAGTAGAACATTAAACAAAGAAAAATTCCAGAAAATTCAAGATTATTCATACCTTCACTTTACCACCTAGTTACAGCTGTATGTACAGACATGTGTTTCCCATATAACCTGTTTACAAGAAACTAACAGCTCTTCCATAACTTTCTGTGAAGAGCTGCAAGAATAAGGAATTTACCCAACTGGACCTTTAATTATTGGGACTAAGTGTAGAAAATTTATGAAAACCTCGTGCAAGAGAAAGGAAGCTTAACTGATTTTTTTTTATGGGTTTATAGGAAATGTACAGCTTTCTTATAGAAAGCTACAAGAGGTGTCAGTGAGTTCTTGGTTGAAGATGATGCAATTTTTAGTAGGAAACAGTCCTTTGCATTTTCTGCAAAAGAGGATTATTTTTAACACATATTCCTTTTTAATACATACATTATACATGTTTAGAGTAACCATGTCCACCATGACCTACTAGCAGTTGTAGCCTTTTGGATGAAATTTACATTAAAAAAACTCCCCTTTACTCAAAATCACTTTTATTCCCCAATCACATTCAACCTGACAAACATCGAACATTGGGTCTGGATTACTTAATTAGTATTAATTGTCTGGCAGTACAGAGAACATGATGATAATGTTATGTACTGATCAAAGCAAGATGGTTTTTAGTTTTAAGCAGTTTTTATATATATATATATATATATTTTTTTTTTAAGAATTAAATGTCATTGGCTAAATACATAACCAAAAAGCAAATAAAATAAGATTTTTTTCCCCATGTTTACAATTTACACGAAAACCAAAATAAAAATCTTATCAACCCTTGGTGTTATTCTTGAGAAATAATTTGATCTTTTTCCCTGAGTGCTGTTCATTCCAATTGTTCATCATGGCCGCAGCGGATATCGTCCTCGAGGTGGGCGGCTGGGTCTGTTCGTGATACGTCCAGTTTCGGAGAACTTATAAGGGATAGAAAAGACAAGTGTTAAAATGCAGGAGATTTTCTGGCTTGTTACTGAACTGATTGGCCTGCTGACTATCTATATATATAAAAACAAATATTTCTTGGTATATTAAGAGTTACTTACCCAGCATGTTATACCTGGCAAAACTATGAAAATATCCATCTGTCGTGCCAATTCATTAGCACACAATGAATAATAGCAACGGAGATTTATTTATTCAACATCAAATACTAGTGAATTAAAACCCAAACTGCAGTGTTGGAACATTTTTCGACATTTTCCAAAAACTTTGCAATTTTAGTAATCATTCCATAACAATTTGGTGTTTAGCAAACAAACCCCGGACACTGTGGATAATCTTGATTATTAAATAACCAGGAAGAAGTTAAACATTTATTCACATTGATTTCTGAATATTTCAGCAACCTCAGTGACATTTGTCCTAGGCAAGTATACAGAACGGCTGAGCTATCCAACAACCAGTGTTATCCCTCTGGATTTTTACTGTCTGTTAATGCTTATCTTTCAAAATGCACACAGTCCCTTCAACGGTATGCATCCGCATAATGCTGATAAAGCTGCAAATTGAGTAATCTTTATCTGCTGGGATTTACATTATATTTAACTTAATTTGGAATATCCCATTGATTTTGGATACATTCAGCATCTGTTGGTAATGAAGCACATATATATGGGGAAAATATATATATATGACACCAAGCAGTCTTAATTTTTACTGTACATATATTTATATTTATTAACTGTATTTCAATTAAATAGCATAATTTATAAGATGTATTTATTGCACCAGTATGATCACCAGAGTTATTCACCAAATTGTGAATTGTCAGGAATTCAAAATGAGTTCAAAACAAGAGTCAAAATAGTAACATAGTTTATTTTTTTTTTACTTTTTACATATTTTTTGTTATTTTTTATATCTTGTTTTATTTACTGTACTTATTTTTGTTACTGTATATGTGAGGTAAGCACTGGAGCCTCTGGATACAGTGTTATTTATTGTATCGGTGGTGGCTGCATGTGCTTATTTATGTTTTCATATTTGCATAGATCTAACTACTTTACTATCATAGCTCACTACTAATTAGCTACAGATTATTGTGGTCATGTGTTTATTAATTTATTTATTTGCATATGTTTTATACTAATACATTTTATCTGTTTACCGTTATATATTTAGTATATTTTTTAGGAGCGCTCATACCAGTTTCCTTTTGAGCTTACACTCATTTAAGACGCTTGTTGATGTTTGTAGCCATCCATTTACATTGTATGATTTATTGCACCGTTTCTATTAGTTTTTTTTTATAATTTATAAGATGTATTTATTGCACCTGTATGATCACCAGAGTTATGCACCGAATTGTGAATTGTCAGGAATTCAAAATGAGTTAAAAACAAAAGAGTCAAAATAGTGACATAGTTTAATTTTTCCACTTCAGGTATTTTTTTTTATTTTTTTTTACTAAATTTAAAGTTTACGTTGCATTCACACTGTCTTCATTCGTTGTGTATTCGTACACATTTCGATTTTATAAAACATTATAAGAAAACAATAATATATTGGTTTATAGGCCAATCTCTCAGATTACATACAAGCAGAGCTCTCTGAACAAGGATCAGCACTGTGCATGCGCAAAATCACAGTACAGTTTCTGTAAGCAAAGGACACTGACTTGCACAACTTGGTCACATGGTGCATTGTAATACTATACAAGAAATTGGACAGGCAAATGGATAAAACTACTCTGCAAAGTGATGTCAGGAGACAGGGGGGCAGAGTATCTGTATCTGGAATGTATTTATAGAAATGTATTTATAAATATATATTGAACTGTAAATGAGGGAACTGCACAGACAGCTGCAGTGCACTATAGCCCCTACAATAAGATATAGTAGTTATGGTACTTTGGTGAAGTGTGCCTTTAATATTTCAAGTCTCAAATCATACTGCACCCACAAATGGACAATAAATTCATGCCTTAATTACATCAAATTACTATTTTTTTCATTTTCATCATATATTTTGCCTTTTATTAATGCAATAAATTTGCTTTATAGCTAGTCCTCTACCTCTGTGTAAAATATATTTTATCCTAACTTCATTATATATGCTTAATGAATATACACCTTCACAGTTATAATATGTAAAATAAAAATGCAACATTTTTGTGCAGGAAAAAAAATATATCCCTTTTTTTAATGAAAATGCAATGCAGATGCAGTGCTTTGACCCTATCTCTTGAGATGACAGAACATTGTGATTGACAATGATAAGTCTAGCTTCCCCCACCCCCACCCCCACACATTTTATCCAACCTGAATGATTCTTTTTCTATTAATTTGGTGTGATTGCTTTTTCCTG